TATTCTATTCTATTCTATTCTATTCTATTCTATTCTATTCTATTCTATTCTATTCTATTCTATTCTATTATTCTATTCTATTCTATTCATTGTTTCCTAGTATGAATTGATTGCTTATTGTACCCTATGGCTATCATTAAGTGTTGTATTTTATGGTTCTTGACTCTTGACGAATGTATCTTTTCTTTTATGTTACACTGAGAGCATTTGCACCAAGACAAATTCCTTGTGTGTCCAATCACACTTGGCCAATAAAGAATTCTATTCTATTCTATTCTAAAAATAATAATAAAATGGGGCAAAACTCACTTAACAAATTTCTCACTTTAGGAACATACATTTTGGGCTCAGTTCTAGTCCTGCCTCGGGCATGAAACATGGCTGGGTGACTCTGGCCCAATCACCAGGAGATTGGGAGTTCTAGTCCCACCTTAGGTATGAAAGCCAGCTGGGTGACCATCAGCCAGGAAAGGAAAGAGGGAGGGAGAAAAAGAAAGGAAAGAGGGAGGGAAGAAAGGAAAGGGGGAGGGAGGAACGGAAAGAGGGATAAAAGGAAAGGAAAGAGGGAGGGAGAAAAGGCTGAGGACTAACTGTACTATTTTAATTATTTGCACAAGGTCAGGGTGCATTCTTTATGGAGATGGACATGAACAGCCTGGCTTTTCCAATATAGCCTGTATCTGTATTTAATAACTTACACATATATTATTAAACATACAAATGCTATGCTGGACCGCTGGCCTATTTACGTGGCTATTCTTGGAAGTGGCTCTCTAGGCTGACTCACAAAGGTGTTTCCTTGTGGCTATCCAAATTCCATTTAAGTGGAAATTGGAAAACAAATGGATATGGAAGTTTGTGTATGCAAAACAAGCCAGGTTCTACCACCAAGTTAATGGAATCTTCACCATTAAAATAATCCTAACCTCAGAGGAAATTCAAATATGAGGGCTATCAGATCTAGTCTACAAAAATTTGGACTGTCACTAGACAGGGCAGTAGAGATGTAAGGCAACCTTTATTGTCATTTTTTTTTACTATGAGCACACTGGTCCACATTAAAAATGAAATTCTGTTGCCTGGTCTCAAAATATCTACCTATACATATACATAACACACATATACACATGCTATATACATACATATATACATATACTAGCTGCATAACTGTGCCTCTCTACGAAACTATGTGATCAGGGTTAGTTTTTTGGGAGGAAAATAAGGGGGTGAAAATTCTGCCTCTACCTACCAGCATCCCATCGGTATTCATCTGGCGAACGTCCTGTCATTGTGGGCGAGAGTTGAGGGCTGTTTGGAAACTGAAACAGTATTTGCTATGTGAGCAAGAAGACAGCAAGGAGCCTGGGCGTGGCTTAGCTCAACTGTTCTGTACTAAAGCTGCTTGCTGCTGTGAAACTAAAACTGAAACTCCTCTCCTCTGCTTGTGTTTTGCCTTTGGAAGAGATTTCTTTTCAGGTGGGGAGGGGGAGTAGAACTCCTTAGCATCAGAGCCAGTGGGTGGGATTCGTAATTTTTTTACTACCATTTCTGTGGGCGTGGCTTGGTGGGCATGGCAGGGGAAGGATACTGTAAAATCTCCAGTCAGAGGGGGAATTTGCCATTTCTCTGAACTCTTCAAAATTTCCACTACCGGTTCTCCAGAACGGGTCAGAACCTGCTGAATAACACCTCTGATCAGAGCGTGTTAATAATATATGAAATACTAAGGCTGTGATGGTCATTTCTAAAAATCCTTTCTTAGTGAGCGCCTAGAAGCCAAGAGGAACATACGTGCCAAATTTCAAGTTTATAGGCTTTACGGTTCTGGAGATTTTGTGATGATGCGTGAGTGATATTTTGCTTTTATATATATATAGATATGCCTACACCCATATATATATGCTTAACAACTGTGGCGAGAAAAGTTGTAAAATACAGCAAAATGCACATAATAATTGTTTCGCTTAGCAACAGTTGAGCTCAAATGTGGTTGCAAGTCGAGGACTATCCTTACTTTGCTCCAGCAAGCAACTAATTTTTATGGGATCATCTCCAATTTCTATTCCTCGATCCATTTCCAATTCATGTAGATCTCTAAGTAAACTGGAGATGGCATGATTATTTGAAATTCTATTGACTCACAAACGTTCATAACCCAACTTCCTCCGAATTTTAATGGGAACCCTTTGTGCAGTATCATCATGACCCAATGTTTTTTTTATGCATCATTTTGCGGTTAGGACATGGGAATCCCAAGCTGTAGCAATGACTGTTATCTAATTTGTTCCTGAAAGACAAACTTAAAACAACTCGCTTTATAGGGTGGTCTCCGAGACTTTTAAGAAAGTAGTGGCCTGTATTAAAAGGAAACGATTAGTAACTCCTGGCAGGAAAAGATATCATGCCACAATGTGTCTCAGAGGTTACAATGCTTTTTCTAAGGTTGTTGTTTTTTAAGGTAAGGAGAAAAGCATTCGGTTGACAGGACGAAATAATCATTCTTGCAAACTCATTCTGATTACCCAAGTTTGCTTTCAGATGATCAGGTGTTTGCACTCTGTCATGACCCTGTAGGAATCTGACTCAGAGGAGGAAGCCAAACAGCTTACAGGGAGTGGGAGTGTGGCTCTGTTGGCTGTGGGAGAAACTGGGGAAGGGCAAGTCCAGAGGGGCAGAGCAGGAAAGAGGTAGAAAAAGGGAGAGGGAATTCAGAGTAAGACCCAGGCCCACCCCCTCTTCATCCTAGGGCACACCGGGAGGAACAGAGGAGAGAGCAACGTGGGTTGCATGGCTTATGGGGGAGGAAAGGGCCCTGATTCCCTTAATAAGCTGCAGTTGGGAGAAAACGTGACTTTATCTTGTGTCGTCGTGGCTTATCTGTGTTCCTGGCGTCTTCCCAACTGTGTGAGTTTTGCCGTGCTTTCAAGTTTGAAATTCCTGCTCCTGCCCTGTCAAACTAATTACTTCAGTTTGGCTTGTTTGGACTTTAAGTTACAGTTTGTGTGTACCTTGTTTTGGACTGAATTTTGTACAGTCAAAAGCTGTTCCTGGGAGAGTTTTTCTCCAGCCCGAAAGTAACCTGGACATTGGGGGCAAAGTTGGATATAATAAAGGACTCTTATTGCTTATTTGACTGTGTTGCCTTGGTGCCACGCCCTGGGTCATTACATACACTCTGTTCCTATTTAGCTAAATTTCAATATAAATGCTTTCAAACTGCTAGGTGGGAAGTCTTCTTCAGTTCTGACTGGATGGTGGGGAATGATTCAAAAAAACAAGCCCAGCTGCTTCTTGAAAAAAAAAAGCACCTTTGGTACAACCATGGTTTGGATGACTGTAGAATCTCCATAGAAACCACAATCATCTTTAGCTGTAGGAAAACTGGTGTTTGTGGGCGAATTAATTTTGCCTCCTCCACAGAGCACAATGGGTGTTGTGGTTAGCCGGCAACAGGTGCGGACGGTGGAGGAGAGGACTCAGATGAGAGGCCGGGACCATCAGGGAGTGGACTGCTGCCTTCAGGGATTGTGGGGGCTGGCAGTAGTGATGAGGAGGTTCCCGAGGAGCCTGTGCTAAGTGCACGTGAGCACAGGATGATTCGTAGAAGAGAACAGCTGGAGCAGCATAGGCGACTCAGGAGTAAGGATGCAACATAATGGCCACTCCCTCCAGGGAATATAAGCCTGGTTTCAAGAGGTTTTTGCCTTTGCAGAAGGCAAAAACGCTCTAAGGACCCGGCATCGTGTGTAGAGACTCCGGCTTATCTGAAGAATTCTGTCAAGGCTTTTCTGGTTGGACTAATTGGCTGCAAGC